TTTTTCCCTCTTTTTTTTCCCCCCCCCCCCCCGACACACATACACTTTCCTTCTGCAGCACACAATTGGCTGGTATCGCTTCCGACGTAACACTCTTCTGGAGCCGTCCATGCGGGAGAGCACCTTGCACCGAGAACTCTTAAAGCTCTTCCACGTAGACACCCCTGACCTCTTCCTCCTCGGTCTCTTCACCTCAGGAATGGCTTGGAATCAGGCCACACACTTCTTCAACCACCAACTACTTACGCTTGGGGACAGGTACGATGCTATTGTCGTTTAATTGTTGTCATAGGCAAACCTTGTCTGCTTGTAGTTTTGAATTTTCAAGAGAATGTTTTTATATTAAACTTTTCTTTCCTACGGAGCACCTTTGCGAGGGACAGGGTTGGGCTGGTTATTAGCATATTTAGATAACTAGTTGCCTGGGTTTCCCCTGCCTATTCAACTATGAGGCGGCCCATCTCACTGATTTGAGTGACCACTTCAGGGTTTTCTGTTGAATTGACCATTGCACACTTAGAATAGACACAGATGGAAGGAAAAACAATAATAATTTAGATATTTTGAAATAGATCAGCTCCAAATTGTTCAGAATGGTAAAGAGGGGAACAGAATACGACAAAAAAGAAATCAAACCAACTCAAAGAGACTGATGCTAAAAGCTTCAGTTTCTTTGCATTAAAAACAGGCAAATGTAATAGATTCCTTTTTAGACATCTGACATCTCTCCTGACTTATCCAGGGGTCTCACACCGTTAGGGGTGAATATCATCAACCTTGGTGATACCAGCCATTCAGAGTACAGGGAGACTGTGAGTGCAGGGACAGTGGCCACCGTCACAGGCACCTACTCGGGTATACTCAACAATTTCAGGTATGCTGTGGGAAGATTTGCCTGACGCCCCGGTTGACCTCTTGCCAGTGGTATCATTTTTAGACGAAACTTTCATCTGTTGACAAAGGGCAACATGTTGCGGCCAACTTAAATATGTAGCCAAATGCAACAAATACTGTTTGCGATCAAGCACACCTTAACCCTAACTCCCTAGTGTCTTTTACTGGGCATTGGACCAAATCCATCAAAGCCAAACACTCCCTGTGCATTCCACATTTGTTACTAAAACTTCACCACTGGTATGATAGTCATTGATGATGAACATGGCTTACATGGTGCCTAAACAACATGTAGTGAATGCCTCGGCAGTGTATCAGGCCTACTAGAGCAAGTCCATCATAATCCATCAACATTTGATCACCTCAGGCCTTCTGGACGGAGTCCATCAAAATCCACCAAAAAGCAGAAGTGGATTTTGATGGATGTCGGATGGTTAGGGTTTTAATGCCATTGTCCCCTATTGCATCTTGCAGGGACCGCACGGCCGACAGTCTCAATGGTGTGCGCGTCATCCGAGAAATCAGCGACACGGTCTACTCCAAAATGCAGGTTTGCCGAGATTTTTTTTCCATCTGGTTCTCCCGGGATTTTTTGGTTTGATTTGGCAGAAATTTTTTTTAAAAGACTTGTGTGACATGGTTCCAGTGGCAGTGGATGCCGGACAACCAGCTTGCTTGTAATGTGCAGGAATACAGAACAATCGGAGAGGAAAAGGGTAATCGATTTGGGCAGTCAAAATCTGCTCAGATTCAGACTCAGCTGATTCCCTCATGTTTTACCTTTCATACGTATTTACACCATTAAAAATTTAAAAGCACGTTACAAAATTGTACGTGATGTAGTTGAGTCATCCTTTAAGTTTTGGTCCAAAAGTGTGAAGTTGTTGTCCCTGTTATCCCTGACCTGTGAAATTTGTTGAAATTGACTTCAAACTTCTATTTGTTTGGCATGTAATTTGGAGTGCCTCAATCGCTCTGGGAAATGAAAGAATGTTATCTAATCAGATGTGACAGGGACAAAAAATTGGACCTCAAATTGACAGAATGACCTAGTTGCTTTAAGAGGAATATGTTCGTATTGTCATACAAGTGAAATAGGTGAAGAGCATTCTCTATTAGGAACAAATGCAAAACAGGAGTTCCTTACAAAATCAGACTTGTCTTCCTGTTTCCAGACTCTAAAAAACAAGCTTGGTGCAAGTGAAAAAATGCTGCAAGCAGAAATAGAACAGGTCAGGGAACTGCAGAGGGAGAAGAAAGAACCGTGAACGGAGGGAGGATCAGCAGAGGATGGAACAGCAGGCCAGATTGGCTGCCGCAAGATCAGGTAGGATTAATGTTTTTTTCTAACAACTAAAGCAAACTTCGATTTATGCTGCAGTTTAATATTTCGGTTGTAATTTGAGAATGGAATACTTGCCTATGAGATTTTGATATTGACTTCAAAGTTAAGAAGAGTTGGACAGTGTCACACTTTCCAAGTGTAGCATGTATTAATGAGCAGTTCGATAGATTGAGAGAAAAGGTTTGGTGAATGGATGGCTTCATAAGTAACAATTCGTGGTAGTGTTGTGTGTCATGGTCTCAGTCTGCCAAGCTGGTTGGTTGCCCTAGGAGTTGTGACATCACCAGGAAACCTTGTATAACAGCACCTGTTGCAATTTTTTCTTTGACATAGAAACTGATTCTCCAGTGCTCCCCAGAGCTGTGGTGCACCACCCAAAACCCCCCACCCAGCAGAAAGAGCCCCTCAAGCCGACCCTGGCGGCAAACCCACACAGATCCAGCCTTGACCCTGCTGGTCCGCCCAGCCAGCTGGCATCCCAACCCCCAGGCGCTATCCCAGCTGTTGCCACACCTGGCCTCGCTAAGGACTCCGCCACGCCCTCGTTGGCTGTGGTGTCCCCGGATGGCTCCAGCAAGGACCCCTTCGCGGGACTCTTCAAGGACATGAAGCGGTCCATCCAGAAGACTTCCAGCCTTGGGGAGGAGTTTGGGAGGGCGGGAGATGGGGACAGCCCGCGGTCGACCCGGGCCCACTCCTGGGACAAAACCAAGGAGGCGGAGTTGCTGGGCTCGTCAACAACGAGCAGGGCACGGAACTTAATGGACTTGGGTGGTAGGTCCCCTTCCCACTTGCAAGGAAGCCCCGCCTCCAGAGAGGGTTCCAGCCCCCAGAGATGGAACACAGACGACAGCGATGATGCCACACAGTTGCCGGGATACCCATCATCGGCATCACCAACATTTTGAGAGGTCAACTCGTCACCTCATTGAATGCCTTGTTTTTGTGCCATTGTTCACCAAACAACCTGACTTGTTCTTTTGGAAAAGAATTACGGAAGGTGCAGAATGCTGACAGTAAGACCAGTAAGTTACCATCGTGGAACCATTTGCACTTTTTTGCCTCAAGTTGAGTATTTTGAAACCCGCTTTGCGTATGTATCAACATGAAGGTGTTGAGGGAAACTTGTATTGTTTCTAGATAGAAACTAATTTCAGGTTTCATGTCAGAAGTGGGAAAATAGCCACATTTGGTCATGAGCACGAATACGACACCAAATTTTCCTGATGATTTGCTCCAGTAACACCCCTCCATACTGATTCTCATTTAGAAAAGGTTTTTTTTTAGCGGCCTTGCAGTGGCAAAGATTCCTAACCAAGGGAAAACACTTCCAGTGTGACTGGCCCCCTTGTGTGTCAAAATTACATCGTGCCTTCTGCTTTATGTGCACCACTTGCTGCTGGGGAGCCCAGTTTTGGGTACGTTTTCTGTATGTGCAAAGCTGGGCTGCCTGAAATCGGATAAAAGACCGAACTCGGAACAAAAGACCTAGTTGCTGGGAATTGCTAACATTTTTTCAGTTTTCAGTAGCGGAGGAAATCCATCATTGTTTGAAAGATTATACCACTGTTTGTGGCATTCAGCGTGAGTGGATTACCGGTACCACCGGGGACAAAAGCACTCCAGCGATGCGCCACACAGCACCGCTGCATGCTAATCTGGCCCCTATTGAAAAGATGCCAGCAGCGCACTGTGCCACTGTGTAACACCGCACAATCTGGGCTCTTTTTACAAGGTGGCAGGGCTGGCTGAAATACTTGGGTGTCAATAGATGTTGTCTGTCAGATTAGAGTAGCCACCAGACAGTCATTCATGTGGGTGTAAATGTCCAGTAAATGAACTTGTGATTTTTTAAAAGAATTTTGAAAATGGAAAATCTTGAAAATCCCCCGGTTTTACGTCATGCAACTTCAAATTAAACCCTGCAGCAAGTGGTTGAACATGTCATAGTCAGATGGCACAGAGTACAGATCCTTCCATTGCAAAATGGCAAAAACTTCACACAAAGGGTACATGTACCCTCGATACTCTGAATCGAAGGGATTCCCAATTTCATATTAACAGATGGGAACAACTTAAAATCTCTGAACTGTGTCATCGGCCTTTAGATGGGTCATTTGTAAATTGTATACATGTACATAGCGCAGTGGATGTACTAATTATTTTTTTTTATTTTAAATATTTCAAATTACATGATGTGCCAAAGATTTTTAACTGGTTGTTTGAGGGCACACTTTCCAAAATGGGGAAAGACATGGCCGCCCCATGAAATTGTATGCAGTTAAATGACCATTAGATGTAGTTTACAATGCAGCTTCATTTCTAAACACTTTTGTTTTCAAGTTTTATACTATCGGTCCTGAGAAACTAATCCTCCATCTGTCTTGTTTCTTTCAAGATTTAGCACCCCCCTCAGTGTTAGCGCTTTATTTATATTGACGCACCATCTGTGAAGTTGAAGGGGCACAGCCTTTGTCTTGACCAACCATTCAAGTGGGGAGGGGGTTGTGTCGCCATGATTGAGTACAGTGCGGAACTGTATTTACATGTATATGGAACTCAGCAAGTGGCCTCACAGTGTAGCCCTCAACACACCTTTTTTTGGCCTGTTTGTTTCAAACAAATCTGGATTGCGATCAGTGATCTGATGTTGCTTCACCAATACAAAACCCACCTTCCACGAACTAGCCTTGGGTTCGCTGATCCAGATTTGTGCCAAACAAACAGGCCCATTGATTTCAGGGGCCAAAGGTCAAGATCTGCATAACAATACCTACGTGAATTATTGGTCCCACAGATGAACCAGATTTCATAGAGATGCTGCCAAGTGTGTCCAATTTAAATGGTATTGAAACAAATTATTTGAATGTCAACATATACATAAATGGAATGTACAAATGTTAATCAGATATCAAACCTGTCCACAGGCTCAAGACCTTTTGCACCGTGAAAAAAAAAGGAAAAAAAAATTGCGAAGGGGTACCCCTTTGGATTTGATTTCTGAACTTGTTTTATTGAGTGTTTCAAATTAGTGCGCAAGTGTGCTAGAAACTTGAAATCTTTTATCAAGTATATATTATGGATGTAAACGTTTCAGTCTGCTATTGTTTAAAGCCCAAAATTAAAATTATATACTCTACAATTTTCCCCAAACATTAAAAACAACTACATGACGCAAGAAATACAGCTATTGCAATCAATGTGCTAGTCCTTCTGTACAGGGACCATGTTTTATTTCTCTTTTTTTAATTTCCCTTTTATTTAAACGGCTCAGTACACCATGCCACCATATTGCCACTAGCAGAGGGACACTAAAGACTTCAAATAGAGAGTTTTTTTAAAAATTCCACACTGCCACGCACGCACACGTTTCTACCAATTGGCCTACAATTAAAGAGAAATATTGACAAGCTTTGGCAGGTGTTCCTATCCGATAATACTACATGGCTGTACTCTATCGCGGAGTTGAAGGGTGGGCCACGTTTCGTGAGGCCAAGCAAGTCTGCTCTAGGTTGTCTTGCAGACAAGGCACCTGGCAATACGCTTAACCAAGCTTGGACCTGCGAAGGCAACGGGCAGTTGGCTTCAAGAAATGTGACGTTGTCCTGGCAATGCTGCTGGATGTAAATAATGCACTCTAACCTCACTGGATTGCAACAAGAATAAACCACAGAAGGATGAGTAACATTTAAGGACAATTCTGACAAGCACAGCTGTGTCCCTGCCACATTTACAATACTCCACATAAGCTGCCTCAGCACAGATACATACATGAACATCACCATGTAAGATCCTTAACATTACAGATCACCATGCAGCCAACATTTTGGATATTAAGGAAAAAAGAGCAGTGTTACATCACAGGTGCTGATCGAGTGCCAAAAAAAGCTGCTAAGATCTACCATCGCACAGGTCAATTTACAGTTTTGGGTCTGGCCCGGACAAACTGTTCCTCAGCGCACAGCGGCATAGCACACAGGGGTGAAGTACATGAAACAATAGGTTACAGCAGCATTATTCACATCCAGATCAACTTTCTACTCCGTCAAAAAATCAGTGACATGGTATAACATGTACAATCTACTAAGCAAAAAAAAAAAGGATTTAAAAGGGGACAAATTTCACATCAAGCAAGTTCATTTACAAAGACCCCCCCTCAAAATTTCAATATTTGCTCAAGTTACTTTTTTTTTGTCATACTGATATGCAACACATTTAAAGGATTCAAGAAGTTATCAGCGTTAAAAAGTTGAAAATTTAAAATGGGAAAACTGCACAGATTTTCTGTGGATTAGCTAGTAATTCTATTTGCGGGGCAAACACAAGGTTCAGAGGTTAACATCTGTATCATTCTACTTACCTACATCTAGTTGGCATGAAAATCTGAGCAGTTTTCCTTCTGACGTTCACAAGTCTTTTCATTAACATACCATAATCGTCTTTGTAACAACTCAGTATTCAAACCTACAGGCAAAATTTCATAATTCAGTGTCTACAAATACACGTGAAGTCTTGATTTTCACCTCTACTCTGTTTAAAAAGGGCATGGCACATGTGAAATCAAAATTAAATGAAACAAGACCGAAAACCAGATTGCAGTACTAAAAACATAACGCACGATGGTGTCTATTCGTCCAATTGCAGCAGGATGGTTACTTTTCACGTAAATAAGAGCCCCTCCTTTTGAATTGGTGAAACATGATTCCGAGCAGGCCCAGATTTTTCTGTCCACACATCTGAAATGTTTCGTTTTACTTACTGTTTAAGACAATCGCAGTTCGCCAAATGCTGGTACTGTAAACCAGCAGTTCTGTGTACTTTCTACAATAGATTATGGGTACGGCCCTTACATTAATTTCCATGGTTTCCAGTTATTATTAGGCATAACACAAATCTACCATTACAAAATTTCCAAATGCAAGCAAGCATGGCACATTTCTTTATTAAAAAAAAGAAAAGAAAGAAACCGACAACATAAACTAATGTATTTATTTTTTTAGAAGTACTGCACTATTATTCAAACCAGTATTAACTGGCTTAATCTAAATCACGTACTTACATTGTTTACTAGCTTAAATATTGTCTTGGACAATGTTTAGTACTATCCACAAGACTTCCCTGAAAAAAAGAAAACACCCCCAAACAGATGAGATAATACGGTAGTTCAAACATTTTTGTGTGTCCATACAGAAAACATAAGCTGCTTGCGTTGATTCTATACAGGCTTTGTCAACATTCTTCTCCAGTCACATTGTACAAGTGCTAGAGGTTGGACTGCAACTAGTAACCAGCTGCAGGATACCAGGGAAGCAAAACTGTCTAAATTTGGGGGAAACCAAAGACGGGAACAGACAGTGGACTGATATAAGCACAAACTGTTGTCAAAAGTGCCTTTCTCTTGTCGAATTGACATAATGCATATTAGTACCCCCCAAATCCCCTGTACATGTACACCAGGCCCGCAAAACAAAACTTCCAAGAATTTATGTCACACCCTGTTGATAAAGCTAGACTTACAAACTGAAGGGAAACCCTCTTAAACAAATTTGTGTCCCAGCACACAATTTAGTTCCTCAGAGTAATCCTACAATTTAAAATACTGAAGATTTTTGAAGGGTAAAGTTTTCTACCATCGTCAAAGGACACGAGTGTGCAACTCGAGATGTTCTATATGGACTTTAACTACCCCACCAGCAACTCCACCTTTTTTGAAACCTCTTTCTAGAAAAAAGGATGGATGGACTAAAAACCAGTGACAAATTTACCCCAGTTGTACAGTGGATGAGGAATGTTCAAATCTAAAACCTGCCATTCAGAATAACTGGCAAACATACTGTTTGCTATGATACTGTACCACACGGAAAAGAACACACAGAATTTTGTCAGAAGACAAAAATTTAGACACAACAAAACTCCTAACCTCATAACTTTTTTTTAAGCTTTACTCTGTGTGATGAAAAAAAGTTGAAGGGATCAAACACATCTATCACAAAATTGACAAATGTGAATTTTTGTTTGATATACCAACAGCCATTTTTATCCTCACTAGAACTGAACTCAGTAAAAAGTCTAGTTTGAAAAAACTGAAATGCCAATTTCTGTCTAACCCCGGACACTGTTTTAAGAATACCATTAAGAGATGTTGAAATACTTTCAAATTATGAATAAGTAACTTTCGTCAGACTACTCTAAGATCCAGAACAATGTTGGAATGGTTTTTTTTTTCCGTTTCAGTACAACAGGTATGTTCCACAAATAGTCGCAAAAAACTGCCATATCTGAGTCTGGTCTGGAACCTTTTTCCATTCCATAAGTCCAGTTACCACACCTGAGATATGGCAACAGTTTCTGGCAAGTCTTTCTGCTATGCATTTTGAAGATGTTAGGTTTTCTTCATGAAGTGATCAATTTTAAAATTGTACGTATGAACGGGCTGGCAATTTCACTCTATTCTCATTGAAAATAAATCAAAAGACACTTACAATGATAATAATACACTGGGTTATGTTACAATATTATTTTTGATTTATTGAACAGTTCTTTTAAACTTACACCTATGTATTCAAGTACTTTAGTTTTGCTTACTGAACACTATTCATGCAGAGCCTAACGTGACACCTTACACTTGGAGTTATAAATTACACGGAAATAGGATTTATCACATGAATTCTCACGGGTATATCTGCTAGGCTACAAATTACATGAATACAACTAGTGCACGCCTCTGGTGCAGACATATCAAATATCTCACACCACAGAAATACTTCTGCGTCTTCTACATTGATGAATTCTTAAATACTTTTGTGGGCTGTACTACGGAATACAGTACGTAAGCACTACATGTAGGTATGGTACAGAGCTATGTAGGTAAAATGTGATGCGACTGCAAAGATGAATACAAAATCTCACAGAAAAGTAGGAGTGGGAACTGTTACAAAATGAAGTTGGACAAGTACCGACCACAGTCAAGATTTCCCATTTTGCACATCAAATAGAACTATATCACCACAAAGTAATGTTGGGGTTTTTTTTGGTTGAAAAGTAGAAATTCCCGCTGCTCAGCATGGGATGGTCCAAGACGAAACAGACCTTTCCCAGGTGCCTATCTTTTTGTCCCTCCCTCCAAAAGAAGATTCTGAACCACGCCCCGAAAGCCTCCCTCCCCGTCACATGCCGAGCATGTGGCCATCACATGAAGACTCACATGCTGTTGGCACGGGATACCACGCACATGGTCACATGCTCGTCACATGCTCAACACATGCCCGTGACATGTCCAATCAGATGAAAGCCTGCTCCTCACCACAGGCACAAGCACTTGACCACTCACAGCAGTCCCACTTCTCTTGCAAAGTCCATGTTTGCTCAAATCTGAATACTCTGAAGCAAAAATTCATCCGCACATAAAAGCACTTAAAGAGACGATTACTCCTCCTTTTCTCCCCAAATTCACCTGTGCGGTGTTGCGGTCCCCAAATTTGACCAATTAATTGTTTTGTTTTCTTGGAATTATCTTACTTTTTGCACTAAACACCTATGCAACAGCAACAATAAAAAATGTACACATTTGCTCTACAAGGAACACCAACATCAAACGCATAAGACTTCTTCATATTTTCAAAGAGCGATACACTTTTTTACATTTACAACCTTAGAATGTCACATTAAAAACACCTATCAAGACAGTTAAGCTACAATTTATCGGGTGCTCTTGAGAAAATATTCATTAGTTGTGCAAGTTGAAGGTTTCTCCCCCAGGATATTTTTTCCACTTATGAAGTAGGTACAGAGGTCCTTTTCAAAGGACCACAATCTCTGATCCACAATTTATGTCACTCAGATCATCAGGATTCACCCTAGGAAAAACATTGGAATAAATTTACACTGCGTGTGACCAGGATACAGGGCAGAATAAAAGCCAGTTGCCATGGATATTGGATGGCACGATTTTAACACCATCATCTTTCGTTTTGAAGCTACCCAGGATCGTTTGCTCTATTTATTAAAAAACTGCCATGCATCTCGTCAGCAGCAATGCTGTTTCCGTAATCACTGACGTGTTACATATATAGCAGATATCACTCTACAAACAAATAAGGCGGAGGGGGTAGGGATCGCATTTGTCCTTGAAATGATTTGGGAATTGTTCTGTCCCTTCTGCGATCATCCTTCTCACGCGAAGGCATCAATTTACACTTAGTTCAGTTAAAATATGGTCAGCACTACCTACACTGTATCTTTGAAAAATACCTACTAAGCGACCACTGCTTAATAAACACAAAAGTTCTTTTCTGGTGTCCTCATGGGACGAGCGATCACAGTAATGTACAAAGATTTATCAAGCTCCTTCCAAGCGGCTGATAACTGCAGCAGCGTGGTTTCTTCCCCCCTAGCCTCAACCTCCAAATCATTCCATCCCCCAAAACTACGAGCAGGAAAGCCACAAAAAATTGTCGAGATGGAGAGAAAAGGCAGAAAATAAGGAAGCAAACTCTCATTACCGTTTGACTCCTACGCAAAGAAGTATAAAACAAAAACAAAATGACAAATTCTAAGTCTTGAAGAACCAAACTGCTTGGAACCAGTTCAATCCAGTCTGGTGGCAGACCTTTAACTATTGTTCCTTATGGTAACAGCTGGCAAGAACTGGTTCTGACCGGTTCAGACAAGATGGTGGACAACGAGGCCACTTCGGAAACTTTTTTTTAAAAATGGACATAGCCACATTGGTACACACAAACCCCAACTCGGGCAAAAAGCTGGAAACAGTGCACGGGGAGACAGGGGGTTGATTCCAATGGGCGCTTAACTCTCTGCCTTCTCCTTCTTGTCTTTCTTGCTCTTGAGGAATGAGGGGGTGCGGAACTTCTTCTTCTTGTCCTTGTCCTTCTTCTTGGATGGCGAGGTGGCGTCCTTGGTGGGCGAGGCCTCGGCGCTGCTGGCGCTTCGCACCCCGGCCTCCTGCGAGGGCGAGGCCGCCCGCTCGTCCTCCTCCTCCCCCTCCTCGGGCTCCGCCTCCGCCTCGGCCTCCTCCCCGTTCAGCGTGGTCTCTTTGGTTGTCAGCGTAGTCGTGACCACCCGGGTGGTTGTGATTTCCGAGCCATCCTCTGTAGCGATCGCAAAGACGAATCGACGCAGAGACAAAAAAAAAATGGTCACCGCAAAAACAAAGAGACCTGCTGAAGCTGAGAAATGGCAACAAACAATGTGGGTTCTGACATTTTGCCTGCAGTGTAATGAGGCATTGCCACGTACATGTACAAGCCACAGCACATTTGCTAACAGAGCCCCCCTTGAAAAAAATGTGAGCCACCCCCCAGGTGCCCCCTGAGAAATTCCATTCCAGCTACTGGTTGTGCCTAGGCACGTACTTAACCCTTAGACAGCCTATCTTGTATGTAGTAAGTGCACTCAATTGGCCTTGTCGGGTCATTATGGTCTACAAGAAACTCCTGTTCTGGGGCAGGAAGACCTACTTCTCCCATCAGGCAGCAATGACAAATGCCAGAACTGTGGGATGACCAGCTGATGTTTTCTCCTCCAAAAAAAGGGGCCAAATTTTTCGATACAGGGTGGTGCGATTTAAATAACAGGAAACACCACCATGGGGTCACACGCTTTTGAGGTGAAATTTCGTTCGCTGTCTCCAACTCCAAGTTTGAGCAGCAGAGAAGGAATTTAAATGATCACGATCAATTAGAATAAATGAGCCTGGAGATCAACCCTTGTCAACTCACCTCCTTTGGTGACAACCACTTCTTTCTTGGTAGTGGTAGTTGTCTCTTCCGCCCCCTCCGGACCGTTCATGTTAGGCGCCTGCACAATCAGCTCAATCTCTTTCACATCTACAAATCAAGGATGGATAAACATTTACTGCAATTTTACTAATAACCAATCGCAAACTGCATGACAAACCTTTTAAGAAGTTTTTCTTCCATTTTTTACTTGATTAACTCATCTCCATTTTCAAAGCACTACAATGGTTATTATTATCCCGTTCATTAACCCTAACCCTCCTCAATCCTCCAACAGGTGAAGGATTGAGGAGGGTTAGGGTTAAGCCAGGGGACCAATTTGGCAGCCACTGTCAGTGTATATCTGGTCTTCACCCTCGTAGGGCACCCATTCATACATCTGGGTTTCATGAGGCAAAACCGGGAGGAAGTGACTTGTTCGAGGTCAAAGCAGGTCAAAATTGTTAACTGTGAGGCCACAACACTTAGTGACTGAGATTTTGCAACTTGCAGCCAATGAGCCAAATCGCTACTTCAAAAAGGCAACGTCAATTGAGAACAAAGCACTCGACGTCACGCGGATGCTAGCATGCTCAGTGCATGCGGGTTGGCGTGCAGCCACGCTAGCACTAGCAACCTGACCTGTGACATGCTTCAAAACACCCAACTCCCTCATTCTAAACCTCCCCTGAAAGGGCCCATCAAGGATAGTGACTTACCCTGTCCGGTCTTCTCGGCAATCTCCTGCTTGTACTTCAAGATGTCCTCTTCCGTCATGTTCTCGAAGGGATTGGGGGCATAGGCTGTGTACAGCATCACATCCTTCTGGTGCTCACGGGTGATAATCCCCTTGGAGGCCGCCTGGACTTGGTCCCCACCACTACCGGGCTGTGTGGGCAGTAAAAAATCATGCAATTTGGTCGAAAGTCAATATTGAACCTACTCACCCACATTTCGGTACAAACCCTATATAACATGTAACTTTGGTTGTCAGCATCAGTGCAATTTATTTGAATGACTTAGTGCAAGAATTGTTCCTGGCACGGCAGCCTACTTTTGAAAGCTATGGAAGGACAATGTGCATGTGTTTGTATTGTGCATTGACCAATTTTCAACTGAATGCACACAACCAACTTCCAACTAAATGTGTCGAGACTGTTACTGAATTCAATGTGAATCTCTTGGAAGTCTGAGGGCGAAGCAGTACAAAAGCATGAAATATGACATTGCCGACTGAATGTATGATGAAACTTGGCTAAACTCAACATTCTTGGATATAACTGATGACACTACAACATGCTTGAACTTAAATTCATACAGTTCTTCCCCCTGACAAAATTCAGTACCAATGGGCTTCAATATTTTGTGTAACATCAGAATTTAGTCAGCATGACAATGCAATATACATGTTACTTGAAATATAGAAATATTGCTTCCAAAAGCTGCAAACAAAAATAGAAAGTATCAACTCGCTTTAATCATTCAAAGCATTATTTTCAACGTGAAAATCAATCAAAATTTTCCTAGCAAAAAATCAAAATGCCACCTCAAAATAATACCCCTGTACCCCCCCAGCTAATAAACTTATTGTATCTTTGCGCCGACAAGAATTTACAACGAAAGCAGAGAGGTTAGTTGCAAAGTGAAACAAAGCATATCATTACAGAAACAAAGCACGTTATTAATGAAAACAAAACAAAACAGGGTGTGTACTATTTACCCAAGTGCACATCTCCTGGTGCCAATACATCTACTGGTGTTTACTGAATCTACAGCTCAGTGAATCGTGAAATATAACCTATTCATCACAGGGACATCCAATGTGCCAGAGGCTACGTGACAACCAACCAAATTACCTCACTGGCCTCTGACTGATTTCATCACGCCATGACAAAACGTGCCAGCATATTGACTATTTGTCTAACGGACCGCCACTGTTGGCAAAGCATTAAAAGCAAGTTTGGTTTTGAACGATGCCAACATATCATTAACTCTGCAAAGGAATAACAGTTAAGGAAGACTGTTTAGTAAAAAAAAAAGTTTTGGAAAACACTTTCAAACTGGTGAAGATGCAAACCGATTTGAAAAGTCAATTGTGCAGTATAAAAGACATGTTACTGAGGCTAAAGAAAAACAAAACAGGACACTAAACAAGCTACCTGCAGGGTTCACGAGTTCTCTTAATGGGATCTCAACAGACAGCCAGCCCCTAAAATCTCTTTGAAGTCTCCACCATTCCAGTCTCTATGCACAAGTTCCATGGGCTCGCACTAAAAACTATCAGTCCGCCCCAAGTTCACAGATACGTTGCGTGTGTGAATTTTCAGGTCTGCTGTCGCCATCCAGTGACTTCACAAAACTAATCCAAAAGTTCTTAGACCGAGGAAGACCATCCCCTATTCCCTAAGGAATTTGTTCCTAGGAATCTGTCCCCATGCTGAAAACCAGTGGTACCGGTGCCGATGTATTCAATATATGGTTGTGTCTTAATAGCGTGTTTATGGCTGCCAATAACGTACAAGTCTATAGGAAGTGGCTTCCATTGGTGCACACATTATTTCTAGCCATAGCTAAGTGATTCAGACATGGTCTGGCTTCCACTGCATGTATCAGACACTACATGTATGTCAAGTCCAGGTGATGGTTCCAAGGCTCTTTGTCCGTCAATCCTAGGGATGCTAAGTAAATGCCTTGAAGTCAAAATGACTGAACCTGATGCATTTATTTGCAAGCCACAGACAGGTACAATGTGCATTATGCTTCAAGCGATTTACATAGCAAAGGGTTTGGTGGTGTTTGGAAATGGCGCCGTATTGAAAAGTGGAGCTAACACTAACTGGAGGGGGAAAAAAAGCAGAAAAGATGGTGCATAAGAATAGGAATGTGTCGTGAGAAAGGTACACAGCAGGGACACAATGCAACTTGTCAGAAAGAAGCAATCATGGAAGAAAAAAGGGCTTAGCCAGGAACAAATAGCCATGTTTGTGGGGCGAAAAAAAACGCATTTTTTTTCCACCAGACTGTGGGGTCCACTGGTCAGATACCTTGCGGGGTGACTCTTGCAGGTTATCTTTGGAGTCAGACAAGGGGGCATCCCTAGCAAGCTAAGAAAAAAAACAAACAAGCAAAATACACATGGAGTTGACTCGGCAGCTCTGCTCTGAACGAGATCTGCACTAAAATGTTTTTTTTTTCTATATGCGTTGGCATTTTACAGCTCCAAGGGATGCTCCAAGTTGGAAATGGATATGACAGACTGACGTTTGGTATTCGCTTGTCAAACGCGACCGCCTTGTGTCACCCTGTGATCTCAGACGAAGAACATTCCCTTGGAATTTGCCGAGGGCCAAATTGTCTGAATCACTGGTGGAATCTGAAGGGTGCCTTGGATTGTAAGTCTGGGAGACAACATGGAAATGTGGAACTTGTCTTTACACAAATGAAGATGTCAAGTTGGAATGGACTGCCACAGACGCATACAGAAGGAAGTTGCTAAGTAAAACCAAAAGAAAGGGGTTTTTCATGCACTGAACTGTGAGCAAAAGTGACTTGTGCAAAAACAACAGTCATGCAGGCCACACCTCAATTTAAGATGCTACAAATCCGAAGTTAGACATTTTGCCGCATGCACCACCAGTTGTTGGGGAAAAGATTGGCTAATTCGTGTGACGTCAGGACACAAAACGGAAAAAACTGATAAAGGCTGAAGTGGACCGAGACGTTCAAAATGGCAGAAGGAAAAATTGCGGTTAAAGCTTGCCAACCCGCCCTTGCATTTATGAGATCAAGCCTCTGGTCCAGGGACCATGTGACTACCAATAATGACCGCAGCATGAAAAAACAAAACAACTATTCCCAAGACGAACATCATGACAAAACCCACTAAAAAAGGGGTGAGGAGGGTAATTTGGAAAGTTGGAAGAAAAAAAGATGTGCACGATTCCATTGAACTTAGACCTGTGCAAGTTTTATCACACACAATTTATGTCTGTTCTGCATCATGATACTTGTATCACCTGCGCAGTGGTTCCCATGAGCACATGGGCATCTCGCATGAAATTTAAGCATTACCAGAACTGAACGGAAAAACCACACTGGTGTTGTCCACTACTCACCAAAATTCACTTGTCGCTGCATCATAAAATGCACGTCAAATGAATGATATTGATTTTTCTGTTTTGGAGTGAAACAGCGGGGGGAGTGTCCAAAAAGCTCTTTGGGAAGGAAACTTTACAAAATGGAGAATGCTTGAAGGAAAGCAAAATTAAAAAACAAACAAACAAACAAACACCCAAGGATTAACGTTTTTGGCTCCAGAGGCAATGATGCGCAAAAGCACTATGTCTGTTTGCACTGAATATGCATCTTTCCATGAATACGACAAACACTTCGACTGACCTGAGCCTTGCGCGTGTCACCATACTGCACGCCCGACAGCACCTCCGAGATGGGGCCGGCAGTCACCTTATCGTCAAATCTGTCTGTCTTCAACTGCAGAGAGAAATAAAGAACAAAAACAATTAACCAGTGAAAGACTAAACAGACTGAAGATATTGACAACCTGATGCCACACAGATTGCCAATTCTTGGCATCACAGACCCGTCTTGACTTTACACTTTAAAGACACTGACCCTCGTGTAGCCTCTACATCAAGGAGAACTCAAGCAGACGAGCACAACTTGAAGAAAGCAGTACATAACCTCCAATAGCTACTCTGTCAACAAACCACCTCACGCTTGGTCAACTGACTAGGACCTTTACCTAAAAAAGAACACCTACTCAATGCAATATGGCATATTGTTTGAAACATGATTGGGGTGACTAATGCTGATGCAGAGCATTTCAAGAAAAAAAGGAAATGACAAAAAATATTTGGGCAGCTGTTTTGAATATCAGTAAGCAACAGACAAGAACGCCCGAGACGTGACACGGCCTATGCTCTGTTTGACATGTGCGCTACTGGACTAGATGTGCTTCCAACTTCATAAAGACTCGTCTCTGAAATCTATTACTTACATGGCATTCTTCAACTGACCTACAGACCACTCCGAACTGGGTTTTATTTAGGCGGTGAACTTACATCTTTGTGCTTTTTCTTCATTTCCTTGGGGTCATCAGACAGCACTGAGAACTGGTGAGGGTCCACTTTGATTGGTTCGCCAGAGGTCTGCTTCTGTTCATCAGATACCCACTTAAAGAAAAACAACCCAAAAAAAACCCGGAAAATTAAAGATCAGATGTATGCACGGACAATACAATAATGAATACTTTTTTTTGTGCTTTTAATTTTTCTTTTCCTGGGATGAACCAAGGTTTTCTAACAAATGTGCATAGGAAATGCAACTTGGAGGGCCGAGGCAACTTAGAGAGAGAAAATGAAGACGTTTTGTAGTTTTAGAGGTGGGAGGAAAACTACCATATTCCAAGAGAAACCAATGAAATAAGGTTGGGACAGAAAACCTACTCTAACTTGGCCTGGGTGGAATTTGAACCTGGGTTGCAGATGACAACAGGCGAGGGAAGTACCCCGAAACCAGCCCCAATCCGACTCCCATTAAACAAAGGATTAAAAAGTCACGGCTGTGGCTTGCAATAACAAGTGTGCCCATGGCAAGCTGTCAGCCAGTGGCTGCACCTGCTTCCCATAGATGAAGGTGCTTATGTCAGCCACAGCCAAGATGTGTCGGATGCAGCCTGAATTATGGCTTACCACAGTCTTTGTCTTGGGGGTCTCGTCCCCTTCCTTCACCTCCTCCTGAACTTCAACCTTGGTGTAAGTGTTGGGCGTGTTCAACCACTTGGTCTTCTCTCCAGCCTGCTTGCGGTTCATCAACTTCATGGGCGACTGGTACTTGCTGCTCTCTTTGTCATCGTCGTAGAAGTAGGTGACCGAGGTGGAGGCCGCTGGGTGGGCCACCTCGCTGCGGGGCTTGGGCTCAGAACGCACCAGGGGCTGGTGGTACACATAGCCTGTTCTGTGTCCCTGGTGATGCACAGAAGAAATGACAAGTTAATGATTAGCTTGTGTGTACTTGAATCATAATCCAAGTCTTATCCAAGCTGGGGATTTTATTAGAACTCCATGTGCCACTTCAGCAAGTAGCACTGGGACCTAGAATGGCACTTGACCTTAAAGTATTTGGGGTTGGCATGGCATTTGACCAATAGAATTGGAACCTGAACTTGACACTTGGCCCATAGGTACTAAGACCCGTTTGGGTAAGCAATACACAATACTGATTTGACACATGACCTCATGACACCCCATATTTGGCACTCGACACTAGTATTGGTAGCTGGTGAGGCACTTGATCATATTTTCACTTGCCACAGTGATAGCAGCATTGCCAAGTAAAACTGGTACCCAATCTGACACCCACCATTACCTTAGGACTTGAACTGAACTGACACTGCACCACACTGCACGTAGTTTGGCACTAATATCAGAGCTACATCATGTCATGATGTCTGAAGACCTAATTCTAGATATGCATTGAGAAACTTTGGAGACATTTCTTAGACATGGGAGGACCCCCCCCCCGAACATTCTGGAAAACTCAACAGAATCATGCAGGGACTTAAAAACCAAATTCACATCACGTGGACTGAGGTGACAATGCATGACAGTGGTAATAAAGCAAGGACAGAACCACTTCCAAACTCCCCTAAAATCTTGAGGACTGCCTCACCATGTTGTCCAGCTGCCGCATCATGGCTTCAAACTCCAGCTCGCCAATCTTCCACCTCTTCTCACGGCGCTTCTCCCCTTCCTCCTCCGGCGAGGTCGGCATGATAACGCCACCACCACCCTTGACTGCCACATTGCGGGTCGCCTCCTTCACGGCGTCCGAGACAAGGATCAGGTTGTCCAAGCCTGCCGACATGCACCTGACCTGAAGAGGAAAAAAGCCCAAAGTAACATTTATTACTTGAATTTCACAAAAACATCTTGACTTTGTAAGGACAAGGATCTGGTCGATAATGAGCTGAAGAAAATGTTTTAACTTTCTTTTTTCAACTTATCGGTAGAGCATCGCTTGACTGGACGTTCTTGGAAAATATATACATGAATGCCAAGTCCTGCTCAATCAGTCTGAGCTCATCCTTGGGAGTCATGACTCATGATCAGTGGGTAAAGAGTTCCAATGCACCTGCTGGCCATATGCCATGGACCTTCCCCAGTCCAGGGAGCTACCTGTGACGGAGTGACATTCTATCCGGGGTTGAACTCAAGCCTGACAAGCCGTAGAGTTTCCACAGACTTGCATCCGCCTACTGAATGGGCTAATCCCTGAACATCAACCGACACCTGTGGTTACTTACTTGGGTCTCGCAGGCTGCGACCACGTTAACCGTCCAGTAGTACGCCTCTTCCACCGTCTCACCGCAGCATACTACGCCATGGTTGCGCAGGAACAGGATCTTGTTGTTGGGGCCCAGAGCCCGGATGATGTCGTCCTTCTGCTGGTCGTTGATGATGATGCCACTGTAGTCAAGGTAGGACACCTCGCCACAGATCAGGGCCTCCTGGCTGAGGGGCAGGAGGCCTTGCTTCATGGAGGAAACCTGAATGGAGGAAAAACAAAGGAAAAACTTAACTTGCTGTTGTGTTAAGAGCTGGGCTTGTGGGTCAGATTGTTTTAGACTAGACAAGACAAAGACGCATAAATGACCTAAGTGTCTACTATGCAAAATACCAGCACTAGAATGTTTAATTTCACAAAGGGAAAAGGTTAACAGGCTCAAGTCAACATCAGCATACAAGGCTCGTTGTAAGTAACTGGAAACGAACGAAAAAAAGAACTGCCTTTGTCATAGTAACAATGAAAGAGTCAGTGACTAGACAATGGAAGACTTTTGACTGACTTCCAATGGATGTATGAAGACGTGACTCCACACCAACAAGAAACCAGTGACTAATTGTATCAAACATTTCATATTTTTGCATGACAGATTTCCCAATTACTACATTAACTACACGTTCCACATAGAATCCCTTGAATCCTACATGGCAGAATGGACACTCACTGCCACTACACCCGCGGTGTGAATGTGCACCACACACTTGGCGTCGGGCCGGCAACTGTGAATGGCAGAGTGCAACGTGAAGCCGGCCACATTGGGGCCATAGGTCGTGGTGCCCGGGTCGACGGTCTGACCCAGCATGTCCACCTTGATGAGGGAGGAGGCGGTGATCTCGTGGTACATCAGGCCAAAGGGGTTGATCAGAAAGTGGTCTGTTTCCATGGAGACACGTAGCTGGTGATAGAGAAAGATAAAAACAAAAACATGGCAGTGAGCAACTTTGGAAAACTCAAAAGTTAACAAACTTTGGTGACAAACAAGTTTAATCTGTCAAAATGATGGGTGATCTCACAAAATTTCAGAGCGGGCAATTTCTGAAATCTTGTTTCCAGCAGTCAAAAACCATTCATCACTGGGTTTTGTTGGATCTAGGAGGCCTTCTACTTTGCTCGTTAGATTATGGCAGATTCAGCAAATTTTCTATATCATCTTCTCCCCAGGATGCACCCTTTCAAAGATGCTGCCGGGGGTATCCAAACCCACATACATCTCCATTACAAACTTACTTGTGTGCATTTTATCTCAGATAAAAACACCGAGCAAGCTACTGCACAAAATGACTGGCCCTTCATGGTCCATTTGAGTTAAAGAACATCAGGACATCACCTTGATAATTACTTCACAAGCCAGAACACACTGAGAAGCCTACCATCCCATCTGGATAACTGTAACATGCTACATGTATTAAGTCATTTGAGGCAACCAGAATGAGGTAACCAGAGATGAGGCTCATCCATCAAAAGAAGGCTTCCTTTGAAAAAAACAGTTACTGTGCAATACCACCTACAGTGTACATGTAGTTCAAGCTTTGGAAACTCGAACACATTAATTAATATTCCAATAAAATTCAGCCACAAATTAGCTATTTGACTGTCCATTTTGCTAGTTCTCTCCCCATCCTCACAAATCATTCCACTAAATGCACTGCACTTAACAATGTACACGCTGCAACTGCACAATTAGTCTAGTGTGTGTCTACATGACTCTGCCCTTGTTTATTTGGCTCTCTCAATGACGACAGCCTTGTCCTCCAGCCTGGATCATTCTGACCGTTGACCTGGGCACCATACATCTCAATGCATAGACAGCTTCCCCGCCTCAGCGGAGTCACGTACTGTTGACCAGGAACGATCCGTGGCTTTAACATCATTTAATTTATTTTGGAATATGCAGCACTTTTCTCCGAACAGGATGCATGTATGCTTTGCTAATTAAGAAAAAGAATCTCATGTTTATTTATTTGACTGGTGATATTGGTGCTTTTTTGTACATGTGAAAGAACCCTTTCCCCCTTAGAAAAACAAAATCTGAGAACATGACAACGTACTGGTGCTCCTTTAAAGTTGCTGAGCTGAAAATTTATTTTTTTTGGAGTTGGAGTAGAATTTCTGTGTTAACAAAGTTGCAAACGCAAACACTATGTCCATTCTGTGGTAGGCCTGGTGGCCAATGTGGCACAGCTGCCGAGAGAAGAAAATTGCAAAGGTAGAGACAACCTTTTATGAACCAAGGTAATTGGTCACCAAGTCATGCCATATGTATCACCTGCACATGCACGAGTTCATGTACATGTATCTACTGGTTCACAGCAGAGTTTACTTGGCACTAGAATTTGGCAAGGCAATATTTTTCTTTCAGTCACTATTTTCCAGGTGGGCAATATTTTTCTGCCAGGCAACAGTCTGCTGATAGGCAATATTTTTTTCTAATGGGCAATATTTTCCTCAAAAGCACCTACATGTACAGTGTACAAGGTACTGGGCCCTGGACAGCCTGCCAATGCAGACTAGTCTCTCCATTATGTACAGTACATGTCTGGCACATCTCATGCTATGCATCTCATCTACATGTATAATGTACAAGTACTGCATTGAACTGCAAGAAACCAGGGCTCATCCTGATGGTGGCCTCTTTGGCTTGAATCACCGCCATTCACAATGGCTCTGACAATCACTTCCTGTGGTACTTTCATGCCCCTGTCTATCCGTCATGTGAGCCAGTCAATCAGGCTCTGCCTTAAACTCTTTTCAGTGTGGGTATCTTATATCTAATCTGCGGATGAAGGTTGGTTGGATGTGGTTGTTCCTCGAGAAACATGATCACATGCAGAACACACTGACAATATGGAATTAAACCACAATTTGCCTTCAAGGATATTCTTTTCAAATTATTAACTTTAAAATTGCCATCACAAACTTCTAAACAACAAAGCTGTTCCCAGGAAGAAATCAGAGGTAATCAGAATACACTTAAACTTCAAATATGTCAGTCCAAAATGAATTATTGTGTAACGTTTTTAAAAAAGATTAGGCAACCTTTAACCACAATAGAGTACTTAATCAAATGATTCTTTTGCTGGTAAGTATTTCCAATTCAGATAAATCTTTCCACAACTCACTCTGACATTGTCCCACTAATCAAATTTCTTTTGACTCACTGCATGAAGTCAGACTCTAACAAGCTTAGTGTTATACAACTCCAGTCAGCCAGCTAAAAATATAGCCAGTGACTAAATATACGCTAATACCGAGGAAATGTTGATGTGAAGAGGCACGACACCCGTGTACATGTATGTTCCACTGGGAATGTTAACATATACCGGTATCCTGTTTCAATACGGAGAATGAGGTACGATGCACAGCCTACCCAGGTATATAAATTGTACATGTACATGAATGATAGGAATGACACTGACATGCTGCACTGCACTAATGTATACCCACACATACAGTGCCGACGAAAGTCAGACTGTACCCAGTAAACATCTGAAGACAGAAATCTGTGGTCAAGCAGTCAGCAAACGTCGCAAACTTATGGTTGATGATTATACAGGAAAAAGTAACCTACCAGTACATTGTACATGTGTATGCAGATGTATTCCTGAATGCTGAAGCAGGTACATGTACAAGTACATGTACACGTAGTGCAGATTGATGTGCATACATGCAATCGTCTGTTACAGTTCTAAGGACCGCTATTGTACGTGCCCTCTCAAAAACCGTTCATTTGTTTATTTGTCATGTTTGTGAAATCCACATACATGTACATGGCCCACTTGAAGGAGAACCTTCGGGGGGGGGGGGGGGGAAAAACAAAAATAAAAGGGNGGGGAAACACACAATTAAACGGTGCTACCCCGCAAACCTGTCTAGTTTACTTGCAACTTCCTCCGTGGAAAGCTTCAAATCTCATGGAAAACACAATGTCATGAATCCATTGGTACAACGGGAGTGGCAAGTACTAAAACAGTGCACGGTTTCAACCCATACCTTTAATTGCAATGAGGGGGGCTATAACAACTGGAAAGGAGCACATGACAATGAAGATGCTGTTGCCATGGCAACAAGTACTTTAGAAGCTGCAAATGCCCCAGTGTGTGACATTTACATGTGGGTCATTCTATCAATTTGGGGGTCTGTTTTTTTTTTGGCATCTCATCACATCTGACATGCCGGTACATGTGTAAGTTCAGAATGCATTATTCAATTCCCAAGAGTGATTACGGTACACATTTGCAACACAACTAAAAATTGTTAGAATACATGTATATTGAAATATTTCCACGTCAAATTACAAGGTAAGGTGTACAGGGGACACAGAAAGGTCACACTTTTGGACCCAGAATTTACAGAATGATCGATATATCCATTCATGCACAATTCCTTTGGTTTTCATTACATGCACCAAGACCCGAATGTGCAAGTGATCTTGGGGGAAAATCTGGCAGGAAAACATGAGACCTGCTATTTGGACATGAAACACAATTTCTTTTCCACTCGGCCGAGGCATGGATGGTCGTAACAACACGGAGCAACATGTACACTGACGGTACTGGTACACTGTTGCTGGGGGAGTGCCGGAGGTACACTGTAACATGCCCAGTATGTTGATCATCTCCAACAGATGTGCAACGGTGTGTGCATGCACGCGTGTCTGCCTCTGCTGACCGCGCTGTCTGCATCACTAGGGGTGTGACCTGCCTCGGCAGACGAGAGCAGATCTTGTGAGTGTGTGCTCGCAGTGGCATGCTGGGAAATCCAATTGCTGGCACTTGCACCTGCTGCAAAGATATTGAGGAGCTGTATGAATGCATGCACTCCATGTACCCGTGTATCAAAAAAGGCCAAGAACAAAACATAAATGAACAATACCCTTCCACATGGTACATTGTGCAGATATCTCTTGTGCATGCAAGATAAGAATTGTGTCTTTAAAACAGACGTTTTCTGCCTTGAAGGCCATTCATGCCCATAAACTTAGAGTTTTCATTTCAGTATGGGTAATAAACATAGATACGTTTATAAGTATTTTAGCAACATAAACACGGTTTGATTGGGGGAATAATGTTTGGAGATACATGTAGAATATCACCTTGCAGTAAGATAAATATATGTACATGTAATTGAAGATGAAGGGACAATTTCTGTCATTAAGCAGTCAATGTGAAGTGTAAGAAATTTTTTCTTCATAATGTTGTCGTTGCATTTCATGGAATGTAGGATTGGCATGAACACATGAAAATTATGCATGCATGTCATCTACTTACAGTTTGCATATGCTCACAAAACCTGCATTTTGATTCATATCGTATGACTAACACATTCTTATCGTCAGTGGACCCGGCTACTGCTTAACCACTTGATCTACATATACATCCAAAAAATAACAGCCAGCAACCACGTCGCGCTTACACATTATGACTGCCTCGCCTAATCGATAAACCAAGCAACACATAGGTGACAACGCCAGCCCCGGTGTAGCTTCCAGTCTGGATTCAACATCCCCAACCTTCTTCCCGGGCACTTGCGGAAATGTGCAGATGAGGCAATTAATGGGTTGCGATATTGGAGATAATCATTTCCGAATGGAGGCCACATGTGTTTTGCAGTATGTAACATGTTTCTGACGTGGACAGCTATAGTATAGTAATTTGCTGGTGTCTTGAAATGGCTCTGCATGTTCGTGGAGTTGAATACTTTTCCAAATAAATATCATATCAACCTTTTACGAGGGTAGTAAACTATCTTTTCATATGTTTGTGGGGGCATTACACAAATTCTTACCACCTCTTCCACACTTTAAACACATTGGATATATCTTATGTATGCCAGGGTAGCATCTGTTTGTATTTTTGATGGCAGATGGCCAACTCGTGTTCAACAGGATGGATTTCATTTTGACCTACATTTAGCTTGTGAATTGTCGTCGAAGTACAATGTAGCACATTCAATAATTCATTTTTTTTCCTCATCTGCCAATCAGACTTACATGTATTTGCTTATGCCACCTAAGAGCACTTTACAGCATTCCAATTCCACAAAGCCTTTTGTTCATGTAAATTGACTTGGAACTGTAAATATGTTTTGATACCAGTATCTCTCATTTTCAAACATGATGGTTATTTTTCTCCTAATAGTGTGGATATGCGCGCACAAGTTTTTAGGAAATTGTTCTAATGATGGCTTTTACACGGTTTGTCTGTGTGACCTTTTCTGATAACATTATGAGTCATTTCTGATGAAACTAGATCCTTACTCATCTCCATTGAACCGTGGTGTGTTGGCACTACAGTCATTTGCGAAAGTTTAGGACCACCCCTAGAAACTGCATTAACCTGCAGGAAAACCAAACTTAAACCAATCAATCATGGCAACTTCTGTTTATTTTCAATGTGTAACCTTGGTTGAACATTTTCGACTACATTTCCACGATTTGACACGTTAACAGTCTAATATTCAGTGTGCCCTCCTTTATTTCTGACTGCTTAGACTGGCTTTTTTACCCATGCTGCCTTGCAGATAAAATGTCATACAAGACCTGCCTTTGCAAAAAATTTCATTCAAATGGGTGTACAGCGCTACACTGATGCTATGCACCACTGTAAAATCATGTTAAGTAATCATTGAGTGAGACAGTGTAATGAAGGCCAAGCGACAGAAATACCAATTAAATTCAAGATGGTCTTGAACTTTTGCAAATGACTGTACTACCTGTACATGTAGCTGACTTTAATGGTTGAATCACACGGACATGTACATGTACTTGTACATACCCGTATGTGTTGCTAGCTCAAGTTCTTAAGGTAAAATGTGTTTAAAAAATAGGGCAACTTGTGATTACAGTATCTGTCGTAGATTTACGAACTTCAAATTACTCCCATTAAAGATGACAGTGTAGAAATTATGTACTAGTACATGTACCAAGCCATCAAGATGATTTTTTTTTTATGGGAAACTGCTCTGACATTTTCAAATTGTTAAAGTTCTCTCAGAGTCAGGATTGACATGTAAATGTATGTGGTTTGCCTCGGGTAATACTCTAGCACTCTACTTGTCAAAATTACATTTCTTTGAAGCCAACTGCTGACTTCTCTTTATTAAGGGGGCCACTTCTCTTTACTAAGAGGGCCCAGCGATTGAAGTGTGCAGGCTGCTTTTGGCACTGTGCACTTTTAGTGGCAAACTGATTTAAAAGCCACCTTACTGCAGTGGCACGTACATGTGTGTGCATGTACACCTGCATTATGCACCTCCTCAAGCCCCTGTTCGTGACTTTGCTGAAATGCATGTGCGTCTCGTGGTTGAGAACATGTCAATAAATGCAGTGTCACTGCAATAAACGTGTCTCTTCGGAATAGTCTACTGGCAGCATTTATGAGAAACTCATTTTGCAAGCCTGGTGATGAGCCACTGGCCAGTATCTTCATGTAGCCATCTACTGGTACAGTACTTCATTAATCTGTCGTCAGCCTCTCAAGTGAGCAAGGATTACAGAATGGTCAACATTTTGGTGTAACACTCTTATCGCTGTTGCTGTTGATTTTCTGACCAAGCCAGACAGTGGTGCGCTCTCCAGGATGACCCACAGCAAACACACTCTTTCACAAACAGGAAACCAACGCATCATCAGCGCACACGCGACCACCTCCTGTAGCCCCCTTGACCTCGATTGGTGCGATTAACCGGCCGACCTTTGACTGAACACTGTTAGCGTTCCAATGATAAGGACCCTCCAGACTGCATGTTCTCAATGGGATACTTCTGGCACTGATATACAGCGGTCTGCACAAGAGTTCCATCACTTTAAGTCAACAGTACATTCTATTCACAGCTAATTTGCATGTTTACTGATCGAAGACAGGCCTGCTAATCAGGAAATATCAATGAGCCCAGCAATTATCATTCTGCATTATTAAGTACATGTACCATTCAGAAAAGGTTCAACTCTGTGGCAACATAAGCAAATTCTAAAACTTGACTTCTGCCAAATCACAACACCCTATCACTTGTATGTATAGGCATGGTACGTACATGTACATGTAAGCATAGTACCACTGCAGTCATGGTTTCTAATTTTAGTCACCAAATTAGTATGATTCTGTGAATGGTTATTAAGTACCAGTAATCTGTACAAAGTATATACTTCAGTGGAACGCCGCTGTAACGAACTGGACAGGGTCCACGCTAAATGTTTGGTACAGGCGGTTGTTCGGTATAGCGAAATTAACTGCCGAATATTTCGTTGCAATGTTGAATAGCGCCCTCTCTTGTCTAAATCAAGTGCACCCTCTTGTGATATTATGGTTCGCTGTTTTCGTGACGTTTTGCCATAGCATTAACGTTTGAGGTTTCTAGAATGGTATCGGTAAATTATTTTTGCTTTTTATTAAACCTTGAGTTACAAAATTGATATTTAGTTTATCCTAAAAGTCGTGATGCTACCGCTCAGGATCGATCTCTGATGCATGCTGTGGCAAATCTCGGTTGATTTGCAACTGCATAATGTTTGGTAGGTTTTGTGCACAAAATATTTGAAGTTAAGGACGATATTTGGTACAGCCAAATGTTCGGTATAGCGGTGTTCGGTATAGGGACGTTCCACTGTATATGGTGTAACTTCACTGGCCTGAGCCATCTATCGATTCACATGGCAAGTGCCCCTGACAGGCCAGAGTGAAGCTGGTGTGTTCTTTGTGGCTTACATGAGTTCCTGCCGCTGTCAAAAGCCGGAGTGCATCCCTTTTTATTGTCAGCAAACATTGCCCGAGACTGGCAGGGGAATATGCACTATTCGTTATCACGATGCTGGCTGCAATCGGAGTTTTGTAGAGTGCACCGTGTGTGTAAAAAGCCAAGTGCTGGCACTCAAGCATTCCCGATTCTCTTGCCAAGTCTGGCTCAACTCATTTCTTGCATGGCCAACCAGGCCAAGCTCGAATAATAACAGGTAATGGACTCATACTCTGCACTTTAATATCAGGACGTATGACTCATGCTCAAATTTCAGACATAGTGACAAATTCCTACATCCTATTCTCCTTGTCACACTACATGCACATATGTGTATATGTACAATGTACATGTACACTCTGAATGTTGAAGGCCTTGCAAACTTGCTGTAATGAACCTCCACACTGGTTACAGCCCAGCTATAATCAAAGAGACTCCAACAGTTGCACCCTAAATCTAAAGCCTCAAGAACTGCCAAAGAAGAGACTTTTTCAACAGTTGTGTTCTGCTGTCCCTTCAATGGTACTGGCAGGGTATGCCATCAAACATAAACATAACTATGTTACCTGAAGCTGCCTTTTCACTTCATGAACAAACTAATACTTTTTAAAAGTTCCTTTTGTCCCCCCCAAACCAGCAGAAGTCGAACTCAAAGCAATATGAAACGCTTCACAAAAGCGGAAGAATAACTCATCTGATATTTAGAGTCACATGAGTTTTATTTGAAGCCCCGCCCAGCCAGACTGGCCAAACTTTGCTCAAGCCCTCCAGAATGTTTCGGCCTGTTGCAAGCTCTGTCCCGAGAGAAGGCCGAGATGGCTTGAAGGGATTAGTCGTAATGGACAAGCACTTGAAATGCTTCTCAAGGCGTGCTGGAGAGGACTATGGTAGACCATGATGCACACAACGACAGTAAATGAGGCAGTGTAAACAAGATAAGTTTGTTGTGACAGGGGAAGCAATCCGAACAACCAATCCTGAATGGGTGAATGAACTGGGGTTTGGACCAACACAATGCAGGAAGAGATGCCTGCTGGACATCCGTTCTTAGAAAAAAAAATGGAAAAGTGTGGCTTGTTGATAAATGCAAACAATGGGGGTGAAAACACATCCAGCACAGGGGTCGTAACGTGAAAATAAAATACTTTTAGACTTTTTAGGGGTTTGGAAAGCCACATTTATAACAAGGTGCTTTTATAGTTGAACAAATTTTTTTTTTCATAAAGTTGAAACAGTAGCCACATCTGAATGATTAAACCTCTTAAAAAAAGAATTCTTGAGCTAAAAATCCTGAAATATGCCCCAAAAGAGAGGAATCACATCCCTGAAACACTTCAACTGAAATAACACTTCTGGAAGACAGGCCTTACAACCTCCAATCTCCCTGTTGAAAGCTGGTTCACACTTAGCAAATCCAAGGGGATCTTGGAACCACTATTAGGTACAAGTACTTCGTCAGAAGGAAACTGGACTAACTCTTTCTTCCCCTCCCAATCTTACCGAGGCATGGTTGTAGATGAGTTGTGTCCATCCGTGCAGGTCCAGCAGGCGGTAGAGGGAGGCTAGCTTGCACCGCAGAATCTTCTCCCCTTTGCTGTAGTTGACCGAGTCCACACCGCGGATGTCGGCCACTGGTATTAAGCTCATTCCTGGAACGAAAACAGAAAACATTCACCCCTCATGGTATCTTGTCTCTGCTAAATAAAAACCCCCTCAAGAAAAAAATGTCTCTTATCAGCCTCCACTCAATTCTAACACATCTTTTTAACTTTTCTTTGAAAGGATAAACTAGCGAGGAGAGATGTCAACCCCAACCACTGGAAACTTTGAAACCCACCCCAGGGCAGGAACTTCGTTCTTGAACTGGCAAGGCAATTTCTTATTTGCAAAGGGCACTTGTACAGTGTATTAGAAAATCAGCTTGGGCACATTTCAATGGGCATCAAGGCAAAGACCAGGGGCATCAACTCAATTGCCTCCGATGCCTCCCTAAAGTTTCTGCCCTGCAACCCATAGTTTTGTGCGTGTTTTGCTCGTGTCTCTCACCCACATCACTTCTGAGTACAATGGGGGGGGGTAGTGGAGGACAGGGCTGTACCGGTCACTTCAGTCAGACCGGCTAAAAGCACAGATAAAGACAACAATGCATGTGCTGGGTAGCAAGAAAATACTGACATATGGTATTTTATCAATCAACTCCACAGATTCATTGATAGGATTCAAAAGAATTCAAACCATTGTCTTTCATTGATTATTATTATTGTGATTTTTTTCCCATTAATATCATGAAACACAGCACATTTCATCACACCTTACTTGCAAAATTTGACAAGTTCTAACATCCCTGGCACCTGTGGATTGATGCCAAAAGAGACATCTGCTCCAATTGCAAAACATAAATTGGTTCTGTTCACATTACACAATAAACAACGATCGGGTTGCCCACCAGGAAAAATTGATGGGTTTCATGTGCACGTACATGTACACCACGCCGCATGTCTATGAAAACAAAAATGCAAAATGATATCCAAGGATATGGTCCCACCAAATGGGATGTACATACATGTACAGGCGTAGCCAAATACCATGAAGAAGTATAGGGCGGGATCATTATTTATACTCCGTAATTTTGGCTACAGCCCAATTCATCTGCAGTCCATTAAACCTTTGTTTAAACCCAAGCCTGTTGTCATTTTGCCAACGACCTTCCTGTGCACAACACTCAAAGTGCATCCACTGCGCTTGAAGTGGTGGGAGGCATTCCGGACTCACACATTCTTGAACTTGGCCGTACTTTAGCACTGGAGCAAAACCTTCCAGAAACTGCCCGGTGAAATTTGAAAGATCCAGGAGGGTCACAGAACTATTAGAATTTTTGCTTGATGCTGGAAAAGTGCACAGCAAGGCACACTGGTGCTAGAACCCGACACAGCTTGAATATGCACACACATGTACTTCTAAAAATACAAGCAGTAACACGTGCACAATAATGTCTTGAACAGACAGCCAGCCGTCTGAAGAGACTACCGATACTTGAACAAACTGAATGGGACAATAAAGAAAGTGGAGCAAACCTTTCGGCATGTTGATGCCATCAGAGTATTTGAAACCGTCACAGGCAGCTGCACTTCTCGTGGGTCATTAACTTTTTGGACATCAACATTTTTTCTCTAACAATCCTGAAGCAAAGGCTCATTTAATTAAATACATGTGCTTTCTCCTTGTACATATATATCGCTCACAGACCAAGGCCCACTTTGTTTTCCCTTTCACAGGAACATTTTGGAAGTGCGCTCATTTCAATACTTTCCCCCCCCCTTGCACTGTGGTACCATCACAGCAGCATTCCCCATGAGCCAGGTAAAATGATTGGGAGTAGGGAGAAGCTCTAAATGACTGAGCAAGTTGTGAGTGTTTCTGCCCTTCACTTTCAGGAGAAGCTGGGCCTCTGACTCCTGCATCTTACCCTGTGGGGCCGCCCCACCACGTCCACTGCCCACTGATGTCTGGTTGAACCTCGACTGGGGGAGCACCAAGTCTGCTATCTGCTGAAGGGCGATAAGGCTGGCTGGGTGAGGCCCGCTCTGCAACCAGAACACACAGGGGAGGGGAAGAGAAAAGGAAACAATATGTTAATTTGGGGGTATCTCTGTATGTTTTGCATTGGCTTTGAGCATGACCAAGAGAGGGCGCTTTGCTGCCTGTCAACAACTTCCCATTTGGCCCACCACCACCACCACCAGTCTTCACACATACTCTTCACCAGTTGATTCATAGTGCATTTATTCCTCATATACTTAGTTCTACACTATTAAGCAGGTCTGGTCTGAGTCTCTCCACTGTCCCATAAATACAGCTCACTGAGGAAGTGGGAACCATGCAGCCTATCAAGCCACTCTGTTTTGTTCATTTGTGAGAGGGTTATTAATGGCCAATTCTTTTTTTTTTTTTTTACAGGTAAAGTGTGCATGCACTGAACATTGAACATTCAACGAAGCCAGCCAACATCAAGCTACATGTACCAGTGATTTACAAAGCTCTTCTTGAAGTATATCCTTCAAGTTGGGAACACAGTGACCAGGCAAACAACTAAGGGGCCAAGAGACAGGAAAATCCCAGACAGCACAAGAGTAAGCATGACTCTAATACAATTTGGGCTCCAAGGATGCCCCCAAAATGTTTGCTTTCTTTCCACCTGAAGTTTCTTTCCACTGAAAACCAATGGAAAGAAATTTCTTTTTACTTATTTCTGAGGACTTTCGAAACAAAATGCACTTGGAAATGGATATCAAGTCAGTAGCTTTGCGAGTTGCTGGTCATAAAATATGACACTTCTGTGCTATACCAGTAGATGTGAATGAAATTCACAACAAAATGTCCAGGATACATGTACCGGTTACATGTGGGTGCATAGTTACTTCAATGTAGAGAGACTTTTCTTCTTGGTACGCAAGCTCCAATTACAGCTGCTTTTGCCGATTTACCCTGAAGTTTCATACCGTAGAGTGTCCATTTTCTAAGAAGCCCTTGAGAGGTCTGATGCCCTTACATTCTCCTCAGTTATTCATCCTAATCCTGGGTGACTACAAGATTATTCAGGTTTGCCCGCCCCCCATATGAATGGCCCTCACTGCGAAGCTCCAAATCTCTGTTCATCCGAACAAGACTCAAGGGGCTGAGGAAGATTTGTGCCTATAGAAGAGACAAGCTCTACCTCTTCAGTGGTGAATTGGCAATGGTTGGAGGGGTAACAGTTGATTGGCAGTATCACAAATACCAGTCCAAGTACAATACTGTTCAACTGTGGCATATGGAACATGTACGTCGTGCATGCACACAATAATTGCTGGAATAATCACTTTGCTATCAATCCGCCTTTCCAGCCTGTGGGAATTTTATCTGTAGGGCTCGCTCTTATCACGCAGCAACCCATCTTGATTAGCCCACCAGCTAGTCAATGAGGCACTGATGAGGTCGACTCTGGATACAGTGCATGTCCACATGTCCGGTTGGAGGGGTTTTCTGACAACGCTCCATTTTTTCCTTGCACTCAATATGACATCTTGTCAAAGCACATGCTTGATAGATGATCATTTCATACAGGTACAATATAATATTGTACAATATAAACTGACCGTGCATGTACATGTACCGGTATATGTGCATGGGTACATGTACATGTACATGTATGTGCCAACATTGTACATGTACATGCTCTACCGGTAGTGCACTGGTATATGTACAAGTCAGGCTTAACAGGGTCCATTATATCTACGTGGCACTACAGAGATTCACTGTTAGATTAATGGACTCCAGTTCAGAGATTGCTAAACAGGGTATATTGCAAAGGTACTAGTACACTGCGGAATTCACTAATCACACCAAAGCCTGGGAAAAAACTATCCCGTTCTTTGCACACTGGGAACCGGACCGGAGGATTAAAAGGGTGGACATGAATGCACACGCACGGGTACGTTCCTGCATAATGTTCGGCTTTGTTTCAAACCATCTGTGATGTCAGCAGCATTGGTATAATTCCAACTACCGATAATACCTGGGCTCCACTCAAAGTCAAACGTTTGAGCATATGCACTGGTCATAAAGCTACATACATGTATATACATTATCTGACCAACGACGTCATTCCATCGCTAATTCTACCAACATTTACACAAGGAAACGTGTGATGTAACGACAAGCTTTAAAGAAACTACCACTTTCAAATGGAAGGACCCATGCAATGTAACTTTTTAATGCAGTCCTCAATGCATCCCGTTTCACGTCATTTTTCACTTTTCATTTGGCCACTTGAAAGAACATTTGGGTGAGCTTTGGGTTGTTATGCTTATGCAAATATGCATATTCACAAGGATGTCATTCCAGGGAGGAGCTTCAATGTTTGCTGATTCACAGACTTTCCGTCCACCTAAATCAGTGTGCATGGAAACTAGCAATATGTCTTGACCCATGAGGTTTAACATTAGTGTTAAGAAGTTAGTTTATGGAGATATTTATTATTTACACATGTAATTACTTATTGGAGTCCCTGGCAGCTAGCCACATATCAGTAGGGGTGCACCTGACACCCTGAAAATGGTACTTGTATCTAACCATGACCTTTAATAAAAGTAACTCAACTGGACTTCACTGTCTGCCAGCTGACAACCATAGGCCAATATGCACCAGACTAAAAGCTTTTGAAGAACCATTAAGGTCCACTTTGGAAGTCAGAGTATTGTTTGGTAAATAAAAAACCTCTGAGGGGCACTTCAGTTTTGCTACAGGCGTTAGTATCGATAAAATGATCCCGTTTAAGAAAACCACCATTCATTGTGTCCAATGAAGGCTGAATCCAAACAGTGACAATTACTGTCTGGTTCAACTTTTTGTTTTATTAAGACCACAAAGTGACATACTTTTTAGTCAAAATCATCAGACTGTACCCCATAAAGAGAATGACTGAACACAGACAGGTCCAACAAGGACAACAGGCCAAGTAACAGACTGGGTTATAAACCCTAATAAACCTGCCATAATGTTGTTGCGGTTGCCGGTTCCTGGTCCCCTTCATTCAGTTTGGATTGTCTGAGACTTCACAGCTCATTGGCACCAGTAACACATTCGGTACCGATACATATAAAGGAAAGTGTTTACTTGTTCAGTAGTTGTGGGAAAAAACACACAATATTTCACCTATTTTGTGAGGACCGAAAATGTTATAGAAACAGAACAATGTTCCTACAACATAATAAATTGTCCCCTGAACTGGGTGAAGGCCTACCCATATGACAATGTACATGTAGGTTTACATACACAGTACCAGTAATTCTTATACCACTGCAGAGACATCACAATCAATAATTTTCCTCGAAATTAAATATCTAATCTACTCTTCACGTGTTTCAATTTGTCAAAGTATTTTAATTTATCTGGCATAAGATCCTTCCAGTGAAATCTATGACCAGGGTACCGTACAACAAAACGATTGTTGCCTACGGTGACAGGATCCATGGGTTTTGTTAACTGTCACATTACATACATGTGTACATGGACATGTACACTACATGCAAGTGGGCAGGCAATAAGAGGGTGGAAAGTTCAGTGACCCATTGCCAGCCAGGGGATCAACAGGATTATCCTCTATACCACTTGATCAGAATAGGGGCTTAAGCTGTATCAATGGGCAACTCTAGAGAGTGACTTCATTTAATCAATACCTGGAAAAGTAGACTGGAGTCCTTTTATGCTCATCCAATGGTGCTTATGCCAGCCTATATCCAATAACCTGAAAAGCCTGCATTACACTGTGCTTGTCTGGCTTCTTCACCAGCGCCAGACCATGCGAGCGTGACAGTTTATCATTGTGTGGCTACATGTACACAATTACACACAGCCTGGATGTTTTCTCACTCTTCCTAAATGTTTTTCCTTCTTCTACTTTTTCCCCCCTTTTGTCAGTGAGCCATTAGCCTTTTACGGCCCAGCATGTACAACGTACATGTAGACATCTAAATGTACAGCTTCAATTCCAACAGGTGGTCTTTCAACAACGGGGGAAAAAAGGACTTGTTTCCTTACAAAGAAGTGAATGTACCAAGATGGCAACACATGTTTGTACAGTGTAAATTCGTATGTTACTGGTAGCATGTTCATAAAACTACACTTTTATTTGCTCCTCATTCAGGACGGAGATTTCTTCAGATTAAAGGGTGACCAATTTCATTTTAGCAATGTCAGTTTTTCACCCTCGAATACTGGTAGACCTGTTCTGTGAAACAAATTTCATGGGGGCAGTGCAATTCACATACATAGGATTGCAACTTGAATAATAATAATAATAATGAATAACTATGTTTTCAAATGAAATGGTGTGCTGCACCCCCCAATTTTCCACCTGCGCAGGTTTGGGATAGTCGTGATCTTTGTTCTCTCCACTCCCTGCAGTCAAACAATGTGGCAGTCTTCAAGCTGCCATTCTCCTCACAAAATCAAACCGCCAACATTCTCAGTCAATACACCTCCAGACAGTCTGGTGGTTGGGCAGACAATACAGTCACAACAACATGACCCCACACCGCCCTCAAGTGACAGGTGCAAGACAAACAAATATTGTAAGTGCATGTACATGTATGCATGTACATGTAACAGGTGCATTGAACATTGCACATGCCTGCGGGTACGTGTTCACTATAAACAGTACCAAACAGTACTGTGTATGCAGAAAACCTAGCAGCCACAACACCAACAGACTGCAAAAGAGTTAACGGTAAATAAGGGTCAGCAGAAGCTGGGTAACGGTCTCTACATCACAGTACATGTACATACCAAAAATGTACCAGTATGTACATGTACGGTACATGCACATGAAGTGATGCTTTTTGTCAACGTTAATACGTAGACATTGGGTTGGCTGAATGATTCACAATACACAAATTTCAACAAATTTATTTACATATACGAGAACTCGTACATGTACCGGTACACATGCAACTCAAGCTGTTCTTGACCTAATTTTTTGTTGACAAAATGAGCTCTGTAAATTACCAGGCTTTTAAACAGGTTCCCTCTGTAACAGACAATTCAG